AAAAAAAACGAAGGAAAATCGCGAAAAGCGGCGGAAAGGCTATTGATCTGAGGGTCGCTGGTTCGACTTCCACCGGTGACAATATTTTTCAAAAATTTTTTGCTAAGATTCTGAAAATGCGTGTCTAGGGGTTATTTTTGACGCTGATCACGAAAAACATGTTTTTAGCCTAGGTTTTCCGCACGGAAAACCAACGAAACGTGAAAACAGCCATTTTTTGGGTCTGCCGCCCTTTACTAAAATAGCTGTAAAAAAATTTAGAAAAGAGATATCTCAAAACGGTTTTTACCAATCGATCCGTCTTGAATTCAGCTTTATGATGAGCTATAAAACGTCTAAATTGGACAAATTTAAGGGGCAAATTACTCTCCCAAAAAATCGGAAAGGAGTTTTCCATCAACCCAATAGATTTGGAATGAGAGACTAAAGTCTGGAAATTTGCTGATAGATAAAAGATTCATAAAAGAAATCGCAAAGAAATGGTGACGTTTCTTAAAGTTTTCTTCTTTCGATCATCAAAAGCAATCACTTAAGTGCGATTTATTTTCGAATTTCCGGCAGATTTGATTCTCACACAGTGGGATCATCTCTGAAATCGTCTTTAAAGAGTCTTTTTTTCTAGAGATCTTTAGAAAAGCTCTAGAAATCTTTAGAAAAGCTCTAGAGATCTTTAGAGATCTTTAGAAATCTTTAGAGAATCTCTAGAAATCTTTAGAGATCTTTAGAAAAGCTCTAGAAATCAGAAATAAAAAAATACCGACTGGGGCTACCAGTGGTGAATTTATCGCATACACGAAATATCACAATCACAATACAACGACACACACAATACTAGGCTATATCTTAACTTAACCCACGTCATGACAGACGGCTCCCTAACCCTAAGCTCAATGGGGAACTAAATAGCTTTTTTGGTGGTGAAGGGAAGATGACGATGAAGGAGTGGCTTGTCACTTTAAAGAACTGGGGCCACAACCACCAGACTGCCCTCCAGAAAACCTCTCAACCCGAAGGGAAAGGAAATCCGAAGGGGGTGACCATGTCGCATGTGGGGTTCGAACCCTTCCGATTAAGATAAAAGACACTTAACCAGTCAGCCACACGTGCTCCAATCTTAGAAAATTTAGAATTTGAAATCAACAAGTAAGCTATTTTTGGGAGAATTTAATGGAAATTAACTTTTAAATGTAGAGGATTTTTTTTTTGAACTTTACAATTGAGAAGTTGTTATGTTTTGTTGAAAGGAAAAGAACCCATTTAGTTGTTTTCTCGACTGGAAAATTGGGGAGGAAGGGAGAAGAGAGAGGAGAGGGAAATATAGGGAAATATAAGGAATATAGGGAAAATATAGGGAAAATATAGGGAAAATATAGAGAAAATATAGGAAAACATAAAGAAAACATAGAAAAAACATAGGAAAACATAAGGAAAACATCCAGAAAACGTAGAAAAAACAGAAAAAACATCGTAAAACTCCTCGAGTATTAAAGAAAAGATGAAAAATGCCTTTGTGCTCGACATTTGTAAACCCACTCTTCCTGGTGCAATGATTTTTCAGTTTTCTCAAAGAAAAGTCTTGATTTCTTGAGCAAATGATGCAGCAAACGATGCACCAGAAAGGATGCGTTAACGAATTTGAGCACAAAATACCCACCGTAAGCGGTACCGTAGTACCCGAAACTAGATCGCACGCCAGCCAAAGTGTGACTTTCAACTTTGAGAGCTTGTTTTAAGAATTTCTGAGCTCCTATCGGTTAGATAATGAGCACCGCTACAGGAGACCCACTCAACATTTGCTAGTTAAATTTTTGTGGGAATCGGTTATGTTTAGACTGAGCTACACCCTCGAGAGTGAGCATGAGTGCTTCTGACACACCCCGTAAACAACTGTTACTGTAACAACTCTCGGAGAACTTTATCAAGCGATTTAGAATGTAATTATCGACGAAATCCCTTCAAATACGAGTTTTCCTAGAAAAGAAGGGGAAATTTGATAACCAAAGTAAAGTAATTGCTTGCTGAAAGTCAAGGAAGTTGAATTTTTCGGCTTTTCAGCTTTGCGGCTTTAGATGCCAAGATCTTTTAGTTCTAAATGAAGAGTTGATTGATATAAACAGATGATATACATATCTGAACATTATTGATTAAAAATTAACAAAAACTTAGCTCCTCTCAGTCAGCATTTTTTCAAAAACCCAAAAACTAGATCGCGCGCCAGCCAAAGCGCCAGACTAACTTTAAGAGCTTGTTTTAAGAATTTCTGAGCTCCTATCGGCTAGATAATGAGCACCGCTACAGGAGACCCACTCAACATTTGCTAGTTAAATTTTTGTGGGAATCGGTTGTGTTTTGACTGAGCTACACCCTCGAGAGTGAGCATGAGTGCTTCTGACACACCCCCGTGAACAACTGTTACTGTAACAACTCTCGGAGAACTTTATCAAGCGATTTAGAATGTAATTATCGACGAGATCCCTTCAAATACAAGTTTTCCTCGAAAAGAAGGGGAAATTTGATTACGAAACTAAAGTAATTGTTTAAAGAAGTTGAGTCAAGGGAAATCAAGTCAAGGAAGTTGCTTTTCAGCTTTTCAGCTTTAGATGTCAAGATTTTTTAGTTCTAAATGAACAATTTAAAGACTGATCCACTAGAAAAATCCACTAGAAAAACGAAGAAAAAAAAACAAAAGAAAAGTAAAAGAATGGAATGAAAATATGTGGAGAAAGGGTGGCTTTGACTGAGGAGAAAGGGGAAGAGGATTGCTGCCATGGAGACGCCGCTGTTTTCCTCTATTTCTTCACTCCTCTCGCCGAAAGCCATGGTGAGCTTTTCATCTCAAGGGATTGTCAAATAATTGTGTCACCGTACTGTCCAATTGATGGCGGACTTCAAAAATCAGTCTTCCGCACTCTTTTTGATAAAAATAATACCGAACAGAAATCACAAATAGCCTACCAATTTTTTTTTTGTATTTTTACAGCTGTTAACTAAACCAATTCTTTATAGATTTAAGATCTTCAATAAATTAAATAAATTAGCATTTAAAACAATCAAAAGAAAAAATGATTAAATCGATTACAGCCTTACAGCCGATTACAGATTATTAGGTTGACAACTTAATAATGACGCGTTTATGTAACAAATCATTTATTCCAAAAAAACACAAAAGAAGAGCTTTCAATTCGAAAGGTATTCTCCATTAGTATCTATGACTTTTTCCCATCTTCTGCGCAAATCCCGGATCCCATCCTCGAAGAACTTGGGAGTTTTTGAGGCGAAGTAGTCATTCACTGCTTTTATGACCTGAGCATGATCATCGAACTTTTCTCCCTCCAAAAAAGTGCTTCAGCGACCGAAACAAAAAGTAATCTGAAGGAGCCAAGTCGGGAGAGTAAGGTGCGTGGGGCAGTACTTTCCAGCCAAGTTCCTCGATTTTCTTATAAGCGATCTTTGCAGTGTAAGGTTTTGCGTTGTCGTGTAAAAATCTGACTCTCTCCGGTTTGAGCCCCAATTTCTTCAAAGGCTCGTTAACTCTCATTAATTGCTTCGAATAAAGATCAGCATCGACGGTTTGGCCAGGTTTCAGCACTTCATAATGCACCAATCCCTTGAAGTTCCACCAGCCATGGTGAGTTTCTAGTCATCGTCGACCACTTCTGTGGAGCATTATCTTCTTCCCATGGATATCAGGTTTGGGAGTGGTTTGCGGGGTCTGCCCAGTAGATAGCCATTGATTTTTGCGTTTAACGTTCTCGTAGTTGATCCACGTTTCGTCAGAAGTCAAAACCCTGTGAAAAAAACTCGTTTGATTTACATTTTTGTAGCAAAATTGAGGCGACATTGTTGCTTTGGGTCAGTTCGTGAGGAACCCATTTTCCAACTCGATTCTTTTTCCCAAGTTTGTGTAAATAGTTTTCGATTGTCGTATGGGATACTTCAAATATTTCTGCCAACTCACGAATGGTGAGTGTTGGGCAATCTTCAATTAAGGCGAGCAAGTCATCGTCGACCACTTCTGGAGGATGTCCTTGGTGTGGCTCGCCTACGAGGCTTTCATCGCCGCCTTGGAATCTTTGAAACCATCGTTGACATTGCCGAATGTCTTTCCTCTCCAAAAACAGTGATGATCGTGCGAAGAGATTCAGCTGGTGATTTTCCTTGTTTAAAATCGTAGAACAATGCAACTCGAATACGGGATTTTTTTGTCCTCCATTTTTTGCCAAAAAGCGAATGATGAAATTTGGAGCACTAAATGTTATTTATGCAGACATCTTTTACTTTGTATATATGCAAAAAAAGAGGGAAGAAACGGCGCTTGAAATTACAAAAAAACATGTTAAGTAGTGACGCGTCATTATTAAGTTGCCAACCTAATAAATCGATTACAGCTTAAGCCTAAGCCTTACAGCGGCGTTGCATAAAGTTGATGAAAGTGTCTAGCGTGGATTGGAGGATTTCCCTTGACTAGAACATTCAAATTTCTCCTGTGCATTGTGCGTTTTAAACCCTTCTTCTTTCAATTGATCGGCAGACATCTAAATTAATTAATTGGGTAGGTTAGCGCACGTATTTTTGCGCACAAGTCTTTTGCGCAATGTCATTGGCTAAAATTTGCATTTTAGTCGTTGATGGACCCCCGACCTCTAGGATACGCACTCGGATCGGGGGTCCAACTGTCCGTGGTCCAACTGTCCGTGGTCCGACATCGGTTTCACTTACTGACGCATAAGACCTCCCCGCAAGATCACGGCAGCCTTTCTGAAACCCCGCCCCTTCACTTCAAGCGAGTCGGCACTTGCCAGCGGCATTGCCACTGGCAAACCACGCCCCCTCACCTCAGAAGCTTTAAAATGGTCGACATGCCGAAACAAAATCATTTGAAATGAAAAAAATTCAAGCTTTTGCATGGCTTAATTAGAATGTAACCATTATTTTGCATGTTGCCAGCATTAATTTAGTCTTTTTCACCATCAATTCATATCTTCTTCATCAACCACGGGATGTCTGCTTGGACTTGCCACGGCTTCCAACCACTTTTCGCGCATCCGGACCTGAATCGCCCTCAGAAGGGAATGCTTGGAGAAGTCCTGAAAGACCAAAGACCTGAAAGAACCGGTTTGTTTCTGGTTTTGCTTCCAGCGCCTCACCTTTGCAATGGACTGTGTCGAGTCAAAGACTTTTTCTATCTTTACTTTTTCGATCTACCCACACCCAACCGAGCCAATGATTGTCCAGGTCTTTGTTTCTATATTTTATGACTTATAACAATCTTTTTCTTAAGGTTTTGGGACCGCTTCCAAAAAAGGAGTTTGCCGGAGACGTGTAGCTTGCCATGGACAACGACTGGCGTGTCGTTGTCCATGGACACACCAGTCGTTGTCCATGGCGAGCCACACGGACAATGGTCAATGAGAATTGCGCCTCGAGGTTCAACAATTCAACAACTCAACAACTCAACAAGTTTCTGCGCGTTGACCCTGGTGAAATCAAGAAATTTGAAGTCCATGCAAAGCATTTTGCAAGAGAGAAGGCCTTCCCACGCACAATTGAGCTCAGTATTTCGGCTGCGCTGCTCCGTGAGCCAAAGCCAAAGCTCCGTGATAGAACCTAAAGTTTTGTCCTTCGCTACACGTGCTCTTTTGATTTGATGAAATAAAATTTTTTATTTAAATTTTTTATTTTTTTTTTTGGGTTTTTTTTTTTTTTTTTTTTTAGAAAGGGGGGAGGGGGGTTTTTTTTTTTGAAAGGGGGGGGGTTTTTTTTTTTTTTTTTTTTTTTTTTTTTTTTTTTTTTTTTTTTTTTTTTTTTTTTTTTTTTTTTTTTTTTTTTTTTTTTTTTTTGTTTTTTTTTTTTTTTTTTTTTTTTTTTTTTGGTTTTTTTTTTTTTTTTTTTTTTTTTTTTTTTTTTTTTTTTTTTTTTTTTTTTTTTTTTTTTTGTGGGGGGGGTGTACTGTGTTGCTGTACTATGTTGCTGTACTATATTGCTGTACTATGTGGCTGTACTATATTGCTGTACTATATTGCTGTACTATGTTGCTGTACTATATTGCTGTACTATGTTGCTGTACTATATTGCTGTACTATGTGGCTGTACTATATTGCTGTACTATGTGGCTGTACTATATTGCTGTACTATGTGGCTGTACTATGTTGCTGTACTATATTGCTGTACTATGTGGCTGTACTATATTGCTGTACTATATTGCTGTACTATATTGCTGTACTATGTGGCTGTACTATATTGCTGTACTATATTGCTGTACTATATTGCTGTACTATGTTGCTGTACTATGTGGCTGTACTATATTGCTGTACTATGTGGCTGTACTATGTGGCTGTACTATATTGCTGTACTATGTGGCTGTACTATGTGGCTGTACTATATTGCTGTACTATGTGGCTGTACTATATTGCTGTACTATGTGGCTGTACTATATTGCTGTACTATGTGGCTGTACTATATTGCTGTACTATATTGCTGTACTATATTGCTGTACTATGTGGCTGTACTATATGGCTGTACTATATTGCTGTACTATATTGCTGTACTATGTGGCTGTACTACGTCGCTGTAAACGCGCCCTTTCTAGTACAATGAATTCTTCAATTTCCTTGCGACAATGCTTTGGTATCTCGAGAAAAAGAAGATTCAGTGCACAAGAAAGGGTGAGTTTACAAAATTTGTTCACAGTGTACATCGGTGTTACACAGTGTACATGTACAATGTTCAAAAAGTACACCCAGACAGAGCTATGATGTCAATAAATTGTTTTTGAATCGCTAAAACGCTTAGACATAAGTGGAAAGCTGTTAAAAATGATTTGTTGCTAAAAATGTTGCGAAAAAATCCCTCAAAATCTCCTCATTTCTCACTTATTCCTCTCTGATAACATTTTCGAGTGATTTTTAGAGAAAATTTCTGAGATTTTCATGTAATTCATGAAATTTTCTTTAAAATATTGAATCGTAAACATTTCCCATAGTTTCAGTGCAATCAGTGCAATGATCGTCTCTCTTTTCTGCTCCTTTTCTTCTCCTTTCCCCTTTTTGACTCATGCTAATTGTATTGTTTGTGGTGGTGCGGAGAAACAAATGAGATTAGTGATCCCCGGGAATGGCTGGGGCACATTTAGCGCGATTGGACGTACCCCCTTTTGAGACTTTTGGCCATCTCTGGTCTTACTGTAGCCCAGACACTCGTTCTTGCCTGGCTTGTTGGCTTGTTGATTTCAAAATTTAACCATTTCAGCTTATTTCAACCATTTTAACCTTTATATCTTATAAGCCATTATATCTTATAATCAGCCATTTCAGCTTATTTCTTAGGCCAGCCAGCTTTCAGCCATTCAGCCATTCAGCCAGTCAGCTTTCAGCCAGCCAGCTTTCAGCCATTCAGCCATTCAGCCATTCAGCCAGTCAGCCATTCAGCCATTCAGCCATTCAGCCAGTCAGCCATTCAGCTTTCAGCCAGCCAGCTTTCAGCCATTCAGCCATTCAGCCATTCAGCCAGTCAGCCATTCAGCTTTCAGCCAGCCAGCTTTCAGCCATTCAGCCATTCAGCCATTCAGCCAGTCAGCCATTCAGCCATTCAGCCATTCAGCCAGTCAGCCATTCAGCCAGTCAACCATTCAGCCATTCAGCCAGTCAGCCAGTCAGCCATTCAGCCAGTCAACCATTCAGCCATTCAGCCAGTCAACCATTCAGCCATTCAGCCAGTCAGCCAGTCAGCCATTCAGCCAGTCAACCATTCAGCCATTCAGCCAGTCAACCATTCAGCCATTCAGCCAGTCAGCCATTCAGCCATTCAGCCAGTCAGCCAGTCAGCCATTCAGCCAATCAGCTTCTTATAATTATTACCTTCAATACTACAAGGCGTTCTGTTGTTTTTCAATTTAGAACGATGAATTAACGAAAACGATTAACTAAAACATAATCGATCTCTAATCATAATCGATCATTTTCTGATCTCTAATCTCTCTGCATTGTCTGATCTCTGACCTCTACCCGATCTGCTTCCATAAATAAATGCGTAAAAAGTTCCCGGGAATTGAGATTTTGAATGCTATCAATATTTACTATCAATATCCTTAAGGATAGCGCTTAAAATTGAATTCAGTCGATCAAAATTAGAATTTCTTTTCAACAAATAACCCAACATAAATAACATTCAGTTTTTAAAGATCTACATATTTAAATACCGCTTTTTTATTTGAGACAAACCTTGAGTCTCTTGGGGAATGCAGCACACACGTGATCGGGGATCACACACGGGGATCACACACACACAAATGGGGATGCTCTACAGTGAACAACTCGTCACTCGTTCTCGTCGAAGAAACTCGAAGAGACGCGGAAAGCGTTTGAGCAGCAACCGTGGAAATAGATCGCTATCAAGCTCAGCTTTTTGGATGTATGGATATTTGTGAAGCTTCTTGTGAACAATCGACCGAACAGAACCGAAATTTTCTCTTCTCGGGCCATTTGCCGTATCGACCTTCTTGGTTTCTTGGATTTTTTCGGCTCATTTCTTCAATTCGTTTCACAATTGCTGGAGTAGTGGCTATTTTTGGCCGAACGTGGACGATCGTTTGCCAAACCGGTAAGCTTGATCCTCTTCAAGCAATCGTAAACGGTGCTCTTTGAATGGCAGAATTTCTTCTCGGACAGCTCACCGGCAATTGCAACGGCAAATCGTGTTGATTGCTAAAGGTACTCCGGACTTCGATAGACGCTCAATGGCTGGTCGGAGATTTAAATAGATCTAAATAGCCATCTAAATAGCCATCTAAATAGATCTAAATAAAATAGATCTAAATGGATTTAAATACCGTAAATACTGTAATAGTACCTCACCCCTCTCGTACAGTCGCGTAGTCGCAAAAGTTTTTTAGTATTTCATTTTTTGCAAAGCACCCGTACTTTCAAAAAATGCGTTTTTGGTATCAAAAAATAGCCCTGAATTTCAGCTATTTTTTGATACCTAAGCGAGCATTGTAGCATAAACCGGTGTCGAGAAAAACTCGTTCAAAACTAGACCAAGCAACACTCCGCACCGTCATTATGGGGGTGGGGTACTATTACAGTATTTACGGTAGATTCAAATAGATCTAAATAGATTTAAATAGATCTAAATAAACCAAAATAACCATTTAAATAAGTATTTCACAAAAGAAAATCAAATAAAAGGTAAAAACAAAAGAATTACTCAAAAAAATCAAATCTGGTCATCAAAGCTTGCGCGATTGGATTCCGGGAAATTTTTCCGCATTCTGTATAACTTTTTTGCTACAATCGATTTACTGTATCTTCAGAAGGGAGGTAATCACTAAAATCTCTGACCTCACGAGTTGCGCTTTCAAAATTTCGCTATACTATTTGTAAAAAGTAATGATGATAGATACATTTCTTGCCTTGATACCTTGTTTCGATTTTATTGGCTTTCTCTTTCTTCCTTCTCCTTCTTCCTTCTCTTTCTTCCTTCCTTCTTCTCTTTGTTCTTCCTTTCTTTCTTTCTTCCTTTTCTTTCTTCCTTTCTTCTTGGGGAAAGAAGGTGTGCTTAGCTCAGTGGTAGAGCATCTTCTGATCTTCTGCCGGTATGATAGATACATTGATTTTTTGCCTTTCTTCCTTTCTTCCTTCTCTTCTGATCTTCTGCCTTCTGATCTTAAGCAGAAGATCGAGTTGAAGGTCGAGAGTTCAATTCCCCATTTCAATTCCTAATTCGATTCCAAATTCTTTGCCATTCACTTCTTTGCTTTCTTGGCTTCATTACTTCCTTTACTTTATTACTTCCTTTACTTCATTACTTCCTTTACTTCATTACTTCCTTTACTTCATTACTTCCCAATCTTTACCGAATCCAGTAACTTATCTGAAATCAAACTCAGAATACAGAATCATATTTACACAATCATTCGATTCACATTATTTCAATCACTCAAACATTCTCCAAAACAGTTTGTTGTCTTTTCTTTCAATCTTCTGTGGCTCTAAATGCTAATTGTGGTAATCAGTGACAGTAAGAAAGCCCTTAAGTCAAGTGGGGGCTCGATTTCTCGAAGAGGGGTCAAAATATTGTAAGCAGACGGTGAAGTGGGACTGATTGCTCTAAAGATCTTTAGATTTTAGATTCTAAGATTCTAAGATTCTTCCAGATAACTCATTCATCTTTACAGTTTTCAACAAAGCTTTTTTGCTAGGTAAATTCAAATAGATTTAGTTTTTCAAATAGATTTAATTATGGTAATCATCTGGCTTATAATTACGGTAATTTTGAGGCTTTAGAAAGCGGCTTTAGCTTTAGAAAGCGCTTCCAGATTCAGGCTAACGTTTGAGCTTTTAAATACTAATCAGTGCTAATCAATGGTAATCAGTGAGAACTGATTTTAAGCTCCAAATCTTTAGATACTC